AAGAGTATGAGGTTGTCCTGCCTCCGAGCCTTCCAGTGCTCCATAAAGAGAATTCCCTGCTCTTGAGTCTTTACTGAGATTTAAACTGAGAACACTTGGGGGTCTTTTCCCTTGATTCTGGCTTTCTTTTGAAAGCAAGAGAACCCAGATTCGCTCTTTCTCTAAGAGGTAAAGATCATTCTCATAGTTTTGGTAGTTTGTATCTTTCCATCTATTTGGTCAGTGTAGTCATGATGATTGTGTGTGTGTGTGTGTATGTGTGTGTGTGTGTGTGTGTGTGTGTGTATGTGTGTGTGTGTGTATGTGTGTGTGTGTGTGTATGTGTGTGTGTGTATGTGTGTGTGTGTGTGTGTGTGTGTGTGTGTGTGTGTGTGTGTTGGTCCTGGGGTTTGAACTCAGGGCCTAGGTGCTGCCTTTAGCATTTTTTTGCTCAAGGCTGGTGTTTTATCACTTGAACCAAGCTCTACTTCCAGTTTTTTTTGGTGGTTAATTGGAGATAAGAATCTGAGGGAAACCAGGCAGCCTATGTGGCTTTGGGTCTTGAATGCTTTGCTTAGGATAATGCTTTCCAAGTCTTTCCATTTCCTTACCAATGGGGGAGTGTCATTCTTCCATGGTTTCCCTCATTTGTAATAATTAAAATGTGCCAATAAATCTACATGTAAACTCAATGGATTATACCTGGACATGATTAATTGAACAGTAGTGTAAACATTCTGAACTCCAAGAAATAGAAACAAGAGTTATGTTTGTTTTTTTAATTGTACTGTTCACAGTTATTTTGTTTTTCTTTCTTTTTCTCAATTGGTTTATTCGCTGTTGTCAGTTTTTGGTTTCTGTACACTTTGTCTTATAAAGTTTATCTGATTTGGGGCAGGAAAGGGGAATCGCAGAAATGGTGGGACAATGCGTGAAGCAATTCAACAATGATACTCACTAGACACTATGTTGGAAATGAACTACAACTTGGGGTGGGGCAAAGTGGGAGAAAAATGAGGGAGATGGTAACACTGGTCAAAGAGAAATGTACTTATTAGCTTGCTTATATAACTGTGACCTCTCTGTATGTCACCTTTATAATGAAGGTTTTAAAAAATCTAAAAATAAAGAACAATAAGTAAAATCATGTAGCTGAAGGACATGACCGTACATGGATTTACTGTAGCTCCAGAAGCCTTAGTTAGGGTCACGATCTGTCTTAGAAAACACTATTGTTCCAAGATAGAATTATTACATCTACTTCTAATATTCCCTCCTCAAGAATGTACTGCAATTATTCTTTATTTGCCTGAACTAGAGGTATCTTCTCCAAAGTCTCAATGCTAGTCTGCAGCTTGTTTTTTATAACTGTATTCTTAGACAAGACTGAATCTCCTTGACTCCAACAAAAAGATTAAAAATTCATTGTTGGTGGGAGTGTAAACTTGTCAACCACTTTGGAAAGCAGTATGGAGTTTTCTCAAAAGACTCCACATAGAGCTCCCCTATGACCCAGCAATTCCTCTTTTGCGCATTTACACAAATGATCACAAGCAAGACCACCCTAAAGCTACCAGCACAACTGTGTTTATTGCACCATTATATACCATAGCTAAGATATGGAACCAACCCAGATGCCCCTCAGTAGATGAATGAATCAAGAAACTGTGGTATAAATACACAATGGAATTCTATGCCTTCATCAGAAAGAATGACATTGCCCCATTTGTTTGTAAGTGGAAAGACTTGGAAAAATTATATTAAGTGAAGTAAGTCAGGCCCAAAGAAACATAGGTCCCATGGTTTCCCTTATTTGCAATAACTAGTATATGTCTGAGACAAGCAGAAACGGTCAGATAAGTTGATATTAGGTGAAATGAACCCCAAGATAAGGACTCAAATGGTTTTTCTTTCTTACTATTGTTTCAAACATATTTATTTATTTATTTATTTTTGTCGGTCATGGGGCTTGAACTCTGGGCCTGGGCGCTGTCCCTCAGCTCTTCAGCTCAAGGCGAGCGCTCTACCACTTGAGCTACAGCACCACTTCCGGTTTTCTGGTGGTTTATTGGAGATAGGAGTCTCACGGTCTCTCCTGCCCGGGTTGGCTTTGAACCGCGATTCTCAGATCTCAGCCTCCTGAGTAGCTAGGATTACAGGCGTGAGCCACCAGCGCCCGGCTTCAAACATATTTATAAGATTATTTCTTTGTTGCTTTGTATGTCCCTCCCCCACAGTATAACCCTTGTTTTCACTGTATTTGATGTTGGTATAATTTGTGGAAGGGAAGGGAAAAAAACAAATTGTTTAAATAGGGATACAGGTGGACCCATTCCAACAATAAGATGTACAAGACGTTATGTTGAAAACGAACTTTACAACTTTGGTGCGGGGGGGGGGGGGGGGGGGGGGGGGGGGGGGGGGGCGGTGGGAGGGGTGGGGGAGGGGGAGGTGGGGGGTGGGTGGGAGGGAGATGGGAAGGGATGGGAAGGAGAAACAAAGGAAGAGGCAACAATGCTTGATAAAAAAATGTACTCATTACCTTGCTCATGTAATTGTAACCCCTCTGTACAGTATTTTCACTATATATATATATATATATATATATATATATTTTTTTTTTTTTTTTTTTTTTTTAAAGGATCTCAGGAACCATCCTGATGGGTTGGTGTCAAACCACAATTTTCAGATTGCAGCCTCATGAGTAGTTCAGATTACGGAAGTGAGCTATTGGCATCAGGTCTAGTCATGAGTTCTTTTTAAAAATCTGTCTTCAGTGAGGCTGAATACTATGTGTATTTGATATATGCCATAGTATATAGTATGATATAGTATGTATATTTAATTTGAATATAGAATTTATAAAATCATATGTAATTCACTATAGAAAATGTTTTAAAATTCTAGTTAGTATGTTAGTTTCTAAAGAAGGATAAGACAAATATGATATGAATTAGGAGCATATCCAATATACACAGCTTTATGTAATAAAGCATTGTGATTAGGGGTCAGGTAGAAAAATTTAAAGATGAGAAACATGAGTTGTGGGTATTTTATTAACTTGTAGCCAGTAAGGCAGATGGAAATGTCCAGAAATTTTTTCTCTACCATTGTTCCATTTTTATCCCCTACTATGTTAATTATGTCCATTTATTTTGAATCGAGTAAATGGTGACTTATTTGTCCAATTAGGGATTCTTTTCAGGGCAAGCTTTGATTCTCAGAGGATTGACTGACATTAAGCTGAGTCTTTTTTTGTTTGTTTGGTTTGGTTTTAAGCTGAGTCTTTAAAGTTGCAGGTCTATGTCAGTGTTAACTGCATGCATTCCACTGTGTTCATTTTCATCTTGTACCAATGCTGGCTGTAATCTAGTTGAAGATCTCTGCTCTGTTGCTGAGTGCTTTCATGACATCTGGCAAGGGGTCAGGGTGAATCATGATCCAGCTCTGACTCTCATAATGTTTTTGGTCTTCAAAAATCCAGCACTCAAGTGGGAAAATGACTTGGGGTGGCTTCACATCCTCCCTGCATTTCCATTTCCTTAATCTGCCTTACAGGAATGTTATAAGGATTAAATGAAGTGAAATAAGGTGCATCAAGCCCAGAGCCCATTGTGCACAGCCCTTGAGTCATGCAACTTTGCTTTAACTCACAGAGGAAACTCTTGCCTTCTACAGGACATGATTTGCCCTAGCTTCTTGTCACTTGGTGGAGTTCATTCAGGCTAGAGACAGCATTGTAGAGGGGTTTGTCTGAAATTAACAAGGACACCAATAGTCCAATTCTATGAACATTTTTTCCTATACTTAAAAGAAAATGTTTGGCTGGGTGCCAGTGGCTCACAGAGGCTGAGATCTGAAGACCCAGGTTTGAAGCTAGCTGGGCAGAAAAATCCACAAGACTCTTATATCTCCAATCAACCAGCAAGAAGCAGAAATGGAGGTGTGGCTCAAGTGAGGAGCACTAGCAAAGCAAGAGTGTGGTACATTGAGTTCAAGCCCTAGTACTAGCACCAAAATCAAAAGGACTGGAAGCAAGGTTCAAGTGGCAGAATACCAGCTGTGAGCTAGCAAGCTGGGGAGAATGTGAGGCGTGAGTTCAAGTCTCAAAGCCAGAGAATCATCAAAGGGTTGGGGAGGGCATGTGAAATGCCAGAGCTTGAGCCCCTGGCCTTGGCATGTGAAATGCCAGGGCTTGAGCTCCTGGGTTTGGGAATGGATTTACTGTAGCTCCAGGAGTCTTAGGGTCGTGATCTCTTAGAAAACACTATTGTTCCAAGATAGAATTATTAAAATCGACTTCTAATATTCCCTCCCCAAGAACATACTGCAGTTGTTCTTTATTTGCCTGAACTAGAGGTATCTTTCCGAAGTCCCAATGTCAGTGCTCAGGCTGATTTGCTTTCTGTCTCTCATCCGCCCACTGTGCCAGACTTCTGCCCAAAGTCACGCTTAGACTACAGGATGTGGAATATCTATATAAATCACAGCAAGTCATTTTGAGAGTAAAACTCCCACTTAGAGGCTTACCCCCAAAGCGGAGGTAGGTCACATATTTTAATGCTTGTAGATTTGGGAAACAAGATCAGGACCTTTTACTCTCTTTATTAGAGGGAGATTTACAATTCAAACACTTCAGCGGGTGAGCATGGGCCCTTCCCTCTTGCCCGTCCCTGTACCCAGTCCCCCAAATTAAAGAAATAGGGAATCAGGACAAGACCATTAACTTAATAGCCTGGAATTTATGGCTATAATCCTACAAGGCAAAGTCAAATAATTACTGTCTCTTTCTTTATAGTTCCTGTCATCTTTCTCATAACACTCAGCTGATTTAGTGGCTCATTGTTTCATGTCCAATGACCTAGGGTTATGTTAGAATGTATATAGTCGTGAATAATAATATGTAGATACACTAGGTGACTAATTTTAGATAATGAACTGGAATAATGGTAAGGGTTTGGGTTTAGTTATGGTGTCAGTTTGCCAAGTGAGCTTTGTGTCCTTCCTCTTTTCTGCTCTAGATTCTCAAATCCAAGGACTTAACATCACCAACCCAGCGCTACATTGACAGCAAAGTGGTAAAGACGAGAGGAGAGGGAGAATGGCTCTCCTTCGACGTAACGGATGCTGTCCATGAATGGCTTCACCATAAAGGTTGCAAACCATCTTCTCTTCCTCTCCTGGTCATGGGATCAGCAGCCCAAAGTTTTGTATATCAATGACAGATTTCAGGGTGTGAACACACATACAAATGGTCTCTCTGACTTACTGTTTTTCAGACAGGAACCTGGGATTTAAAATAAGTTTACACTGTCCATGCTGTACGTTTGTACCTTCTAATAATTACATCATCCCAAATAAAAGTGAAGAGCTAGAAGCAAGATTCGCAGGTAATTGAAACTTGGTCATCTGCCAAAGTGTGGTGGGGGAGGGAGATGAATGATGAGAATGTCTTGTTGGATAAAGTTAATTCACATGTCCCAGTAGGATTGGTTGGTGAGGAATGGGCTGTCATTCATTGGGTCATGATATGCTTGGAGGAAGACCATAGAAAAGATTAGAGAAAATTGAGCTTCCAGTTTTCCTTTCTCAATGCTGGATGATAACTGGGTCAATACTAACTGGCTCATTCACCTGAAAAATAGATTTCATTGAAGAAAAAAAAGAAGGAGTCTTCTCATTCCTTAGGTTCTGTAGCTCACCTTTCATAGATCAGATTACCCCGCCTTTTCGTAGCCTACACTCAATAGTTTAAGTGGCTTTCCTACTGGATTTTCATAATAGCTTTTAAACAATGTCCAGCAAGGCTTCAGTTTTCCCCATGCTCTCCTTCAAGGGAATTAGCCAAAATGCAGGGAAAATGAGACAAGACAAAGGGTTCCAGTCACTTGCTGTGTCCAGTGGTGGCTGGGAGAGGAGAGGTGAGCAGGAAGTCCCTTCTTTCCCACATGCCTGGTGTAGCACCAACCTATGCTGTCAGGTGAAGCCATGGGTTTCTCTTCTCCCAGTTCTATCACTCATGACCTCAGTGTACTTTTAGGAGGGTTACCATAGCTCTTGGTCATGGAAAAATACTCCCAGTGGCTGAGAGATTTATTTCAGTCTCCAACCAAGCCACAATTCTCCTGAGTGGGAGATTAAATGCTTAAACTGGCAGTCTCTTGAGCATGCTTTGGGGAGCTCTAGTTTCTCAATCTCAGATGGAATCAGGGAAAATGTTGGGCTTGCCATAATATAAATGAAAAAGCCCTTTCTTCCTAGCTCTCCCAAAATAGCATGAGGTAAGGGTGACTTCTGTTTGACTTGAGTCTCGGTGTGTGTTTCTTAGGAAAGTCTTCTGTGTTTAGCAGTCTTAGGACCAGCATGAACCAGCAGGTCACAAGGCATGGTCTATGGCTGTGTTTTGGTGTCCAGAGTTTAGACACAGCCTACACTGAGGACTGATGAAAAGAAACTGCCTACATTGCCCTTGGACCAGGGGTCAAAGTCTTCTTCCACAGATCGTATAGAAGACCTTTGACTCTGCCTTGGACCCTGAACTGCCTGCCAACAAAAGCCCTATTTAAAGGTGTTCGTTACTACCTGCAGGAGTCCTATTATACCATGTCTGTTATACCTATTATACCATGTCTGTTGCCATGGGGGAAATGACTCTAGCCAGCCACCGTTATGTTGTCATCACTGCTATTTGTGACAATAGACAATAGAGGAAACGAAAATATGTAGCTGATGATGTATGATGAAGGTAAAGCTAAATGTTGATTACCCAAATGCATTTTTTCAAGGTATTGATGGTGCCTCCACATATACCAGTGGTGATCAGAAAACTATAAAGTCCACTAGGAAAAAAAACAGTGGGAAGACCCCACATCTTCTGCTAATGTTGTTACCCTCCTACAGACTGGAGTCACAACAATCCAGCCGGCGGAAGAAGCGTGCTTTGGATGCGGCCTATTGCTTTAGGTAAAGAAATGAAAATACAACCAAATGATTCCATCGGTTTGCCCTTGTTCTGCCTTTGTATTCTTCTTCTAGCCATTGTCCTGGATGGTACTCATTGCTCAAGGCCTGGTATAGGATGGCAAAGCTCCTATGTCATGTAATATCACCCTCCAGACAGAGGTTAAAAACAGTTGTTCTACTGTTATATTCCTCAGCTTTCTAGTATTAAATCAAGCATGATGGGAGCAAACTAGACCTCCCAAAGGTAATTCCTCAAAAGTACTTTGGTATTGAAATAGAACATGAGCTCTCTGCATCTTTCTGTCTACCAAGTCAGTATTTATTGAGATCTGTGGCACTGATATGGTAAGACAGGAAAGCCCAGCATTGTCTGATACTTTTACCCACTCTTTAGAGGGTCTGTGGTCTGATCTTCACAATAGCAGCAATGAGACAGCAGCAGAATCCTGTCGGCCATGCCATAGGCTACAGGATTAGACAGAAATGAGGAAATAGAGGAAGAACTTATTTCTTCTTCCCACATGAATTCATGGAGGGAGAAAATTCTTTCTTATTAAGCTTGGTGAGAGGAAGGATCTTTACTTTGAGAGTCCTGGGCAGTGCAGGGTCTTCTGTGCTCAGGCTACTACAGGCCATAAGGAAAATGATATTGTGTGTGTATGTGAATGCGCACTAGTATTAGGGCTTGAACTTAGGGTCTGCACTGTCCCTTAGCTCTTTCACTCAAGGCTGGCACTCTACCACTTGAACCATAGTTTTACTTCTGGCTTTTTGATGGTTTATGAGAGTTAAAAGTCTCATGAACTTTCCTTCCTGGTCTACCTTTGAACTGTGATCCTCAGATCTCAGCCTCCTGAGTAGCCAGGATATCATGTGTGAGCCACTGGTATCCAGCTAAGAGAATGGCATTGTTTGGTTGTCAGAGCCACTGGTGATGCTGCAAGACTCCATTTTTTTTGGGGGGGTCCGGTCGTGGGGCCTGAACTTTGGGCCTGGGCACTGTCCCTCAGCTCTTCAGCTCAAGGCTAGCGCTCTACCACTTGAGCCACAGCACCACTTCCAGCTTTTTTCTTTTTGCTTATGTGGTGCTGGGGAATCGAACCCAGGGCCTCATGCATACAAGGCAAGCGCTCTACCACTGAGCCACCTTCCCAGCCCCCATTTTTTTAAAATCTTTGATTTTTGTGATTCCTAGACCAATTAGCAGATGGTAAAATACAGGATATATTCTCAAAGGAAAATATCATAGGTTGAAAATAGCTGTTGAATTTCTTAAATGTAAAGTAGCAAGGGAGACAAGGTTGTTTTGAAAGGATTTAGTCCCTTTCCATCACCTTCTTCTTTCTAATTATTTGAGGGCGAGGTTGACTTTCTTACTCACAGACAATGCAAGCAGGGTATAGAACTCATAAGGGAACATAGTCTTGTGAATCTCCACAACATTCTACCATGAAGGTCCCTTGATTACAATAAAACCATCAACATGTGGCCCGTGATATTTGCTCATTAGATGTAACTTGCATATGTGAATAATCCTTCTGTTAGTTTGTATTTTTTTTTTTTTACTTTGGGGTGAGGTGGATAGGAAATCATCTTTAAAAGTCTGTATTGATTTTTCTTTTAACAGAAATGTGCAGGATAATTGTTGCCTGCGTCCACTTTATATTGATTTCAAGAGGGATCTTGGGTGGAAATGGATACACGAACCCAAAGGGTACAATGCCAACTTCTGTGCTGGTGCATGCCCATACTTATGGAGCTCAGACACTCAGCACAGCAGGGTAAGTGTTTGATTAACTTACCTCTTCCATTCTTGTTTTCAGGTATACCTGCTTGCCTGTATTTCTAACTGAATTGCAATTGAAATGGTGCCTTCCTACCTTGTCACCTGAATGGGTGCTGGACATACTTTCTATTGATGAAGAATAAGAGGAATGTAACACTGTGGTCAGTTAAAGCTGTAGGTCAGAAGCAGGTTGGAAGATTTTTTAAGTTTTCTTCCTTTTACATTCTTTTTTTTTTTTTTTTGCCAGTCCTGGGGCTTTACTCTGGGCCTGGGCACTATTCCTGAGTTTTTTTTTGGCTCAAGGCTAGTGCTTTATCACTTGAGCCACAGCACCACATCTGGCTTTTTCTGGGTAGTTTATTGAAAAATAAGAGCCTCATGGACTTTTATTTTTTGCCCCAACTGGCTTCAAACTGCCATCCTCAGATCTCAGTCTCCTGAGTAGCTAGGATAACAGGCATGAGCCACTGGAGCCTGGCTTGTTTTATATTCTTGATAGCTAAAAGCTATCAAGAATATAGGTAAGAAGATAGGTAAGAAATTTTAAAAATATCCCTTTCTGAATCAAGACGCCCATCATGTTTGTGTGTATAGTGAAGATGTGAAGAGACTCAGGTCTGTATGAAAAAAGCTTGGGGACTGTCATACTAGAAAGAATATTGGGAAGCCAAGTGCTGGTGGCTCACGCTTGTAATCCTAGCTACTCAGGAGGCTGAGATCTGAGGATTGGGGTTCAAAGTCAGCCCAGGCAGGAACGTACAAAGACTCATCTCCAGTAAACCACCAGAAAACCAGAAGGGTACTGTGGCTCAAGTGGTAGAGCACTAGCCTTGAGCTGAAGAGCTGAGGGACAGCACCCAGGCCCAGAGTTCAAGCCCCATGACTGACCAAAAAAAAGAATATTGGAGACTGCAGCTGATTCTTTGTGATACAGATTTCCTAGTGTATCACAATTAAGAAATCGTTTAATCTTTCCGAATCTCTCCGGCCACACTCTTCTCCCCTGTCCCCAAGGAATATCTATACTAACAACCATCCTTGAAATAATAAGGCCATACAAGAAATTTGCCTTGGAATATTAGTGTTTTTGTCATGTTTAATATAATTCAATGTACACAAGAATTGGAGTGTTTAATCAGTGAGGCTCAGGATAGAAGGCTGAATTCAGAAGGCAAGTTCCAGGTTGAGTGTTATGGGTTCCCAGCCCAGATTGGCAAAGTAATAATGATACTTGTCCATATGCTTTCTCTTGGTGGCTCATGATTTAGGATCTTACCCATGGGAAGGCCTTCACACATTTTCTTGTTCAAACCTTTCATTAAAAAAAAGAAAAAGAGTAAAAGTTTTGTGTCTAGATGATGTGGATGACTTACCCAAGATCAAAGAAGAAAATTAGTGACAAGCCAGGGCTCAGATGCCTTGTTTTATAGCCAGGCCCTGATTTACCCGATCGTACTGAGTTTAATTCCTAAAATGTGGCTGCATGTGAGGTTTCTATTTTGTTCTTTATGCCTCTGTAAATCTCCCTATTAAAGAGGCATTAAAAAAAATTGCCTTCACTGCAGGGTAGGAAAATGAATCTTGGCCAAAAAGATCACATAATGCATTCAGCTGGATTCAAGAGTTTGGGGGTTATCAATTATTTTAGACAATCTGAGTTATAAAAATCACTCTCTGGTTCTTATGAAAAATCATGTGTTAGTAGAATATGAAGTATATTTATTTAGAAATGCCTGCGGAGGCTGGAGTTGAAATTGACGAATATGGCTCCCCTTCTTCCAGCCCTTCTCCCAGGTCCCCCGTAGGCTTTGGCACTCTGGACTACCATGTGTTTGGCCACGTGAGGAGCACTTGCGGAGGCCTGTCCTTTTGTCTGCACGCTCTGGCCAGGCTGCTTCATCTGGGCTGCGGCAGCAGTAGCTGTAATGTGGGCAGGGCCCAGTTGCCAAGAAGAAACCTAATTCTCCTCTGTGAAACACAGAGGGAGTGTGTGGAAGCCGAGACCATGCTTGTTTTTCAAGGGGAGAGGAAGAATAACTATGATGGTCACAAATATGTGGTTTGGACAGTTACCCAAGAAGCCAGGGGAGCTTTATAAAGTAGTCAGTGTTGCTGCGCTGAACAGATCTTCTGTCTTAGGCTGAAAAATTGCAGTGAATCTCGAGGAAAAGGTCACTTGTTGTTTGACTAACACATTAATGGCATCCTTGGAAATGTCAGTGGAGAACGTCCATACTTCTGTTTTTGGTTGTAGGGCTTGAACTCAGGGCCTGGGCATTTTCCCTGAACTCTTTTCGCTCAACACTAGCGTTCTACCACTTTGAGCCACAACTCTACTTCTGGTTTTCTGTTGGTTAATTGGAGATAAGAGTCTCATGGACTTTCTTGCTCAGGTTGGCTTAGAACTGAATTCCTCAGATCTCAGCCTGCTGAGGATTACAGGCATGAGCCACCAGCGCCTGGCTCTATACCTCTATTAGTCAAAGTCACAAATCCCTCTTGGACAGATGGAGATAAAGGTTCAAGATTAATGATAGAATATTAACTTCAGTCTAACCACTACCATTTACCACATGGAAGGTTAATTATTATTATGGCTTTAAGAAAATGCAAAGTAAACAATTCAGAATGTGCACTGCTTTGTATGTCATTCTTTGTACCATATAATTATGAAGCAATGGATGAAAAATGATCAATGATATTTGGGGAAGGGTCAGAGGAATCCTGGGGGTTGAACTTACTTAGACCCTTGTTTTTGGTAAGCCAACACTCTAACACTTGAGTTATGCCTCCAGCCCCTTTGAGTACAGTCTTGTTTTATTTCCACTGGACTGGACCTGAATCCTCTGATTGAGGAGACCTTCCCACATAGCTGCAATGACAGAAATGTATCACTGTGCCTTTTTTCATGATTGAGATAGGTTCTTGCAAAGTTTTGCCCAAACTAGTTTTGAATGGCAATCCTACCTTTCTCAGTTTGGATTACATGATACGAGCTCTTTCTTTCCTCCCTCCCTTCCTTTTTTCCTTCCTTCCTCTCTTCCTTCCTTCTTTTATTCCTTCCTTCCTTCTTTTCTTCCTTCCTTTTTCCTTTCTTTTTATCTTTCTAATTTAAATTTAGGTGACATTATACTGCCACTGAAGATACTTAACACAGGAAGATTTGATTTTTGCACAGAGGTGTCTTTTCCTGTACCCAAGGGTAAAGTTCTAATGGAACTTGAATACAGCATCCTATTTTTCTACTTTTCCATGCACATTTTTTTTCTGGGTCTCCCATATTTGTTGAGTTGTTTTTGTTGGAAGACTTACCATGACTACAGAGTACAAAGACTATAGAATCCCAGGTAACAAGGGAGCTCTTCATATAGATGACCATTTAAAATGAGTCCTCACTAAACAACTTCAGCTACACATTTGAGTAGAAACAATATAAAATACTAAGAGGCTTGGTAAGCGTGTATAGTAGAGCAATAATCAGAGTAGACTTACCGAGGAAAATAAAAAGAAGAAAAATCACTGAATCAGCAAGTTTATCCAAGTTGATTCTTACAGAATCATTTGTTTAATATATACCAGAGAGAAGGGGGAAGAGAGAGAGAGAGAGAGAGAGAGAGAGAGAGAGAGAGAGAGAGAGAGAGAGAGAGAGAAAGGAAAGAAGGAAAGAAGGAAGGAAGGAAGGAAGGAAGGAAGGAAGGAAGGAAGGAAGGAAGGAAGGAAAGCAAACAAGCATGCTATAGGGAAAGACTCAAATTGGTGATTGTATAAGACACATACCATTCTGACCAGAAAGTTAAGTCAAAAAAATTTAATGCCAAATAATTAAAATTGCCTGTTCAGTGCTGTGACTGATTTACAAAGCAATCTGAAATGGTTCTTTAAAAGTATTGTTTTTTTGTTTGTATTTGGTCTGTCGCTATATCATGTCTGTTCTGTGGTGTCCATTCAGGTCCTCAGCCTGTATAACACCATCAATCCAGAAGCTTCTGCTTCTCCCTGCTGTGTATCCCAAGATTTGGAGCCACTAACAATCCTCTACTACATCGGCAAAACCCCCAAGATCGAACAGCTTTCTAACATGATTGTCAAGTCTTGCAAATGTAGCTAAGGTTCCCGCCAAGTGACCAGACAAAAATCACAGTGACAACGACGACGACAACGATGATGATGATGATGATAAATGATGATAATGATGATGTCAATGATGTTCACCACAAGAAAACACGAGAAAGCCTTGGTTTATCAGTGTTAAAAATGTTTAGAAAAAACGGTACCAGTTTGTGTTCTGTTTGTTAAAACTGGCATTGAAAAAAAACAAAAACAAAATGGAAGGCTTTATTCTACATTTCACCTCCTTTTTAAGTGAGAGACACAAGAAGCAAAATCTTTTTTTTTAAAGAAAAAATAAACACTGGAAGAATTTGTAAGTGTTAATTATGTGAAAGAAAACAAACAAAAAATCAAAAAACAAAGCAAAAACCAGGAAAACCTGTTCAGTGGAGTTCTTGTCCATGCCTTTGCTATCCCACACCTCACTTGATTTTTCTATATTGCTGAGAAATGAGCAGCCACCCTTCCCAGCCTTAGAGTTAAGCGTGAGTTATTTATTGTGTGTTACTATATAATGAACGTTTCATTGCCCTTGGAAAATAAAACAGGTGTATAAAGTGGAGACCAGAAATGTATGGCTGGCTGAAGGAATTTGAACTCACATGAGCCAGAAAAAAACAAAAAGGAAAAGAAAAAAAAAAGAAAGAAGAAAAGAAAAGAAAAAAAAAGAGGTCACATTAATGGCAGGAATATCCAAGTGACTTATTACATGACCAGAGCTGGTCTGCAGTAAGATGAAGATACTTGGAACACCTGCTTTGTACCAACTGGCAAAGGAAACTTTGTGTAAGGTTCAAACACTACAATGCCTATGTTAATAAAGAAAACTTTCTGTCAGAATAAGTCTGTTAGATTTTTTCTTCCTTTTAATTGTAAATGGTTCTTTTGCAGTTTAGCAAACCAATGAAATATGGAGATATTTTGACATGCATTGGTCAAACTTTGGACCTTAAAAGTAGAGCTATGCTACAGGATTTTCCTTTGGGAATATATATATATATATATATATATATGTATATAGCCTCAACTATATTATTCAAATAGATGGGCATAAAAGGTAGTATAACTGAAAACACATCTACAGATCTCTGTTGGAAACTATTAAATCAAAATATTAACTGCATGTAATGTGTAAATTCTTACCTTAATTTTTTGTACTCTGTAATAGTGTCAAGTATGATTTAGATTGGACTTAAAATTTGGGCTCTTAAAATAATTATTCACAATTGTAAAATGTTTCTTTTTGCTAGCCAGTCCTATTGAGTAAAATCCTGAGCTTTTTGAATTGCACTACAAATACATTTTTCACAGTACCTTCTCTTGTGCGTTGTCTAGTATCCGTTCTTGCCATTCTTATGACAAGTTATGTGGGTCCACTCTTCCTTCTTTCTTAACTTCCTAAAAACAGATTGATTTGAGTTGAGAAGTCTTCCTTCATCTTCTAAGCATTGCTCCTAATCAAGTCAGATTTAAAATATCCTGTATGGGAAACGGGGGGACACTGTGGAGACAGACAAGTATGCAACCTGTAGTGTAGGAAAGGCTTAGCATTTGAACTCAGGCTATGATAGGCTCGTCTAACTTGATTTAATTAATATTTCACAGAATCTGAGTTTTGTTTAAAAACAGACAGCACAAAGGAAACTTTGTGAGTGTGTGTGTATGTATGTGTGTGCGCGTGCGCATGTGTGTGTGTGTGTGTGTGTGTGTGTGTGTGTGTGTATGCTGGTACTGAGGTTTGAAGTCAGGGCCTAGGCACTGTCTCTTACCTTTTTCATTCAAGCCTAATGCCCTACCACTTGAGCCACAGCTCCACTTCCAGCTTTATGGTAATTAATTGTAGATAAGAGTCTCAAGGACTTTCCTGCCCAGGCTGGTTTCAAAGCATGATCCTCAGATCTCAACATCTTGAGTAAATAGAATTCCAGGCATGTGCCACTGGTACCAGACTCTGCAACATCGTTTTAAAAATTTTCAGTGTTGGGGAGGATTGAAAGGAACCCATTTTAGATGATTTTCCCCCCAAAGGGGAAAAATTCTAGGTCAGCATAAAAGTTACTTCATTTATTTTCTTGGAATTAAAATTTGCATAGACATTCTTTGAAGGTTGAAAGGACACAAGCTAGATTCTCCCAGGAGCAAAGTATTCTTTGAGTCATTGGAGTGTGGGTTCTTTAGCGCTGTGGCTAGCCTTTACTCTGCTTTAAGAATAATCTGACAAGATCACTGTAGAGGAAGTTCTGCATCTCCAGGTTTGGTAGGATATGCTTGTCACTTATTAAAATACAAAAGAATAGATAAGACAATAGAATATTTGCCGTTTCACCTAAAGGACAGCATAGTAAGGCATGCAAAGAGAAACTATTTGATATGGAATACTTTTTTGTTGGTTTTTAAATTTCCTGGCTCTTAGTGAAAATGGAGAATTTGACTGGCTAGTTAGTAGACTAGAAAAGCCAGAGATAAGATGCCAAAATCATGAATAACCTTTTGCTGGATGTAACCCAAACCCAGATTTGAGCGTGTTGATTTTTTTTTATTCTCTTTCAATGTTTAAAAAAATATTTCTGTGTAGATCACTTTGATTTCTGCAGGTATTTTCCTCTTGGATAAAATGACATTTTTGTTTTGTATTATTTTGTCTTTCTTTATGAATGCACTGATAATATTTTAAATGCTCTATTTTAAGATCTCTTGAGTCTTTTTTGTTTTTGAGGGTTCTGTAAGACCTTTACTTCCCAGAAGTAAAATTTGAATATTGCTGCAGGAGGAGAGGGAGAGGGAGGGGAAGAGGAAGCGTTAGGATTGGGTGGGATAGCAGTTTGTCTATGTTCTGTAGCAGTACAATTTTGTGGTTGGCATGGTTTTAAAAAACGGAACATAAGAATAGCCGTTTTGTATCTTGATGACCAATTATGCTGTATTTTAACACTATGTATGTTTGGGGTTTTTTTTTGTGGTGCTCTAGTGGTAAATAAATTATTTCAATTATGTGTGGCTGTATTCTTCCTGACATACTACCATCTTGGAGGCTTTTAAACAAAAGAACACCTGACTGGAAAAGCAGAGCATCATAAACCTGCCCTTTGCTCCTTTCTGAAATGACATGCTTAAGCTTCCCAGAACATGTCTATCAAGAACTGAAGAAAAGCCTTGAGAAGTATTTATTATATTATTCTTATTATTACTATTATTAATCTTCTTGGGATTTGGTAATTGTTTGAAATTCGGTCTCCTTCCAGCTTGACTGTCTACCAGAAAGAAAAAAAAATCATAGAGACATTTGTACCATGATTTGGCTTTCTGGTTCTACGTGCTGCCAACCCCAAGGCCAAAAGCACTGGTCTAGACAGTATCCCCTGAAGCCCCATAACTCGGATAGTTGCTGAGACAGCCAGATGTAACACGAGCCACGTGCTCTGGTTGCTCTGGGAGCAGCTACTCGTCTCTCCGTTACCCTGGTACTATTGTGTGCACATACATACACATGCACAAACACATATACACGCATGCACACCACACATGCTCACACAATATTTTGTTCCTGCACATTTCCTTGGCTCTTTAAGACTAGATTTCTCAAGTGAGTTTCCAGTCTCTTAATAACTAGAACTAATAAAAAAAATAGTAGTTGTGACTCAGTCTGGACTTTTTTTTTTTTGCTTTGTGAAATGAAAGAACTAGTTTGAGCCTGCTGTTTCATCAAAACATCACATAGAAACAAGGCATCTATGGAGGGTTGAAGTCTCATAGAAAATAGCTCCTTTTTCTAAGTCTTGTCTTTGACCTTTTGTACTCAACCCAAAGGCAAAGGAAGAGTTCCACAATAAACTTAGTCTGTGTGTGTATGTGTGTGTGTGTGTGTGTGTGTGTGTGTGTGTGTGTGTGTGTGTGTGTGTACCAGATATAGCAGGCCTGTTAATGCAGCTCACAACATGAAGGCATTGAAGGAAAAGAAAAGAACCACCAACATCACTACTACCAACTTTGGAAAATCCCTCATTCATTCCATTTCCATCGTTCGCTGTCAGTGGCGGTGGTGAGATCGGACCAGGGCCTCCGGCTTGCTTGTTAACGATACTCTATACCACCAAGCTGTACCCCTCACCGGTTCTTTTTCTGCTCTGCAGGATTTTGCCTGTTTGGTTTGGCACCCCTGTCATTAAGTGAATGAACCTAGGAAAAGCACATGGCGTAGTGTTTGCTCTGTAATTGCTCATCAGTAAATGGTAGTCTTAACAATACTTCTCTGCCTCTTCTGGCTTTGGTTTCTAGGCGATTGTGCTGCGATGAGCTGATATATTTGCAGTCTGGGGCTCTTCACCATCTTGACATTAATGTGTAAGATCTCCAGAACCTTATCACAGAGCACCATCAAATCATCACTACTTCGGGAGAATATTCTGAAACTCTCTATATTAACCTTTTGACTCTATAATGGGCCAAAAATGGCTTGAAAAGAGAGGGAATGTTCATTTTCAGTTTTGCTTAAATCTTTCAACAACAACAAAAACAATTCAGAGAGGTTGAGAACGTAGCTTAGTGGCAGAGTACTTGCCTAGAATGCATGAGGCCCTGGGTTCAATTCCTCAGTGCTACATAAACAACAACAAAAACAATTAAAATTAAAAGAAAAAACATTAAAAAATTAAAAAATTCAAAGATGCAAAGTGGCTAGACAAATGACCTTCTCCCTAATATGGTCAAAAGTGGACACCTCACCTATAAGCATGGTTCTCTGCTGAAGGACTTAATTTCGCCCTTCATCCTATGATATGAGCGGGTTTTTATACATCTTCATTATACAGGAAAGTGAGTTGAATCACAATGGTTAAATTACCTCCTCCAAACCATGTGCTTTGTAATATAAATTGAGATGTGCTAGATGTATAAAATATCCACCAAATTTTGAAAACTTGGCGCAAAATATGTGAAGCATAAAATGTTTCAATAATCATTATCTGACTAAGTGATACAAATATACATATATGGGATATACATGGGATTACATGAAGTATATTATTAGTCATTTCCCAATTTCTTAAACTTATTTCATGAGTTGTTAGTTTTTAAATTACATATGTAGCTTAGTTTATGCCTTGATTTCTAGTTCTATCAGTTCTGGTTCAATCTTTGGTGATGTTTTATTTTGTTTTTTTTAGACAAGGTCTCACTGGGCAGTCTGGCTGGAATTCCTCATACAGGCTAGGTTGGCC